CTGAAGAAGCTGAGCTGTCTCAGCCTTTCCTTGCAGGAGAGGAGCTGCAGCCCTCGCATCATCTCAGTGTCCCTCCCTGGCACCTGCTGCAGCGTGTCCACGTCCTTGCCGTCCGTGCTGGGAGCGCAGCAGAGCTGGACGCAGCCCTGCAGGTGCAGTGCCAGGCGGGGAGGAGACACGGCCCTGACAGCGGCTCCAGGAGCGGCACTTGGCGAGTGGCCGCCCGCACTGCAGAGAGCCGGGGCCCTCGTGCCTGCCCTTCTCCCCAGGGCTCCTTTCCCCTCCGCTCGCCTGCCCGCCCGCTCAGGGGAAATGCCCCGTGTGCCTCCCTCGGTGCCGCCCCTCGCCCCTGCCCCGGGGGCTCCCCGGGGCCATCTCGAGGGCCCCAGGCCTTGGCCCCACCAAGCTCAGCCCAAGGCTGTGGAAAAGCAGATTAAAACACCCAGCCAGAAAGTGCCCTAGGATTCCAAGGTCAATCTTTTGCCTACAGCAGGGCTTTGCTATCAGAGTCTGGACGGGATTATAAAATAACCAGGAGAAACAAGCATGAACAAGTTCTGCTTTGGCAGTAGCTCCAGGCTTTGAGGGAGAGGGTTTGTGGTGCATACTCACTCACAGGGATGCACAGAAAGTGCTGAAATGGTCAAAGTAGTCACAACCCATTAGAAATTGGAAGGAAAACCTGAGGCACTGTCAGCTAGCACCTCAGAAACCCGTGACTTTTGCTCCTCTCTTCGACTTGAGAGCTTCCATGGCAGGGGCAAGTCTTCCAATTGCATCAGTGTGGCCATGGCTGGAAAGGGCAGTGAGCAGATGGGTTTAGCTTCTCCTGCCAGCCCCTGAAGTGCCAGTTGTCATTTGTGTGCGCTGAGGATTCCACTTCAGACTCAGAACTGGCGCAGCTGCTCCTGGGGCGCTGCTGGCACGCGGGCGCAGCGGTGCTGCAGCAGCTGTCCCGCACACAGGGAGGGCTCTGGAGGCTCCCAGGGCCCCCAAGGAGCGGAGCAGGAAACGTGCCAGGATCAGCTGCAGGACCGTGGGGTTGTGGGGGATCCTTTGGTCTCTTGGATGGGGCAGGGAGGGGGCAAATGGAATCACGGTGAGACAGGGATCAGGCAGCCCCACACCAGGCAGCGTTTTTGCCTCTGAGAGCTCCTCTGAGCTGAGCGAGCTGGTGAATCCTGCGGAGCAAATGAGACCTGGGAGTGAGGGAAGGGCTGGCTGGGAAGGAGTCAGATAAACCTGTGTGGGCATTTCCCTTTTCAACGGGCTCCTGGAGAGACAAAGGAGACAAGAAGGATGTCCCATCTCATGACATTTCCTGGAATATGCGTTTGTGGTGGCCTTGGCAGTGTTAGTGGTCTCAGGTTTTTGGGAGGACTCTGTGATCTTAAAGGTCTTTTCCAATGGAAACGGTTCTGCAATTCTAAACTTCCATTCCTGCTTTTGAAGGATACGGTCTCAAATAGACCCCCATTTATGTTTTTAAGGAATTTAGCATCTACCTTTCCTTGAAAGTAAGAGGAATCAGGCTATAAATGCTCTCAAAACACTTTAATTCCTTGCTCTTAAGCTGTGTGTTTGAATTGAGGTGCCTTTTTGAGCATGGGATAAATGCAGGAAATTCAGCTGCAATGGCACTTGTTTCATCTGCTTTTCTTCTTCCTTTCCTCATGGGTGGTTGATTTGGGAGTATTTGTCTTGTACTTTGAGTTCCAGCTTAGACTTGCTCATGGATGTGCTGTAAAATCCTATTTACCCCTTTCTACAAAAATGCTTGCAGACTGGTGGGAATTGCTAGAGACAAGGCTTGCGAACCAATCCCCAGTATGATTAGCCCAGTGTCCCTGCTTAAATCCAGGTATGCTTATATTACAAAGGAGTGAACTATTCTAACTCACTGGCCCCCTTCCCCCTTTTTTTTTCTTGTAGCTCTTGGGGCAATTCCTGTGTGCCATTAGAATTCTTTGTTATCAAATGTGTGAAGGCATGATGCTGCTGTAGCAGCAGCCTGAGTTTGGTGGGAACATGTCCAAAGCACTGGGTCCCACAGCAGAGGGCACAGTGGGAGGCTTGCCTCTGCTGCCATGGCCATGCAGCCATGGGGAGAGCAGCTGCTGGGGCTTCCCCGATTCTGCCAACAGCACTCTGCCTCCAGCATGTGGACTCTATGGCCATGATTTTGACAGAATGTGGAAAATGCGCTGTTTGAATGTATTGTGATGGTGTCTGACACCACCTGACTGGAGCAGTTTGGTAGGCAGGACGCCCTGTGGGCAGGGCCATGGCAGGGATTGGTGGCTGGCACTGGCACTGGCAGTGTTATTTTTCCAGACAGGCTCCTGGTACAGCTGTGGGGAGGGCACCAGCAGCTGTATCAGCCCAGGGAGCAGCAGCACATGGAGGAGACCCTCATCTGCAAAGAGACCATCACCCCCTTTGCTCCCTCCATGGCAGCGCAATATGATTCCGCCGCAGGTGAAGGGCTGCAGCAGGGCTGGAGGCTCCTTCAGCCAGGACTTGTTGCAATCTCCTTGCTGCAGCTGTGCCTGGAGGATGTTGGCCTGCAGCGGTGCTGCCGATGCCCAGGAATGCTGCCCGGCCCAGAGAGGCAGAGTGTACAAAAGCTGCATTCAAAGCGCTGATCGCGAGACCCTGGAGCCGCTGGCAAGTGCAGCAGCTCTCCTTCATTCCGTGCAGGTGAGAGCCCAGCCTTGGAGCCTGTCCCTGGGGACAGGGAAATGCTCTGAGTATAGTTTTGAATTTTCAGGGACAGCCCAAATTAGAATTGTTTTGAGGCAGGAGTTGTAATGTTGGGTTAGGTGTGTCTGCAGGAAAGACAGTGGGAATAAATGAAGGAGAATTTTGCATGGCAAATTTACACTCTACAGTTACACTGATTGCATTGGCCCACTGCATACTGGGGGCATCTAATGCAGAGTGCAAAGCTTCTTTGAATAGATAGGAGAGAGGAGGCTTGAAGAAATGATTTTGCAGATGCAGAAAAAGGGATCAGACCTATGGGTCCCATGGCTCAGGCTTAGTTGTGCGAAAGCATGCACGATTAGTTTTATCCGCTCTGTTGGAAAGTACTTCAGAAGGACCTGCCTATTGTGCTATTTCCATGAAGAAAATTTTAAATTGTCAGGAACTGCCAAGATCAGAAATGTTTTGAGGCAGATCATGTTTATGTTGGATTTGGGTGTCTCTGCAATAAAGAAAGCATGGAATAAACCCCTGGAACAATGAAGCAGAGCAAAAGTGGAACGTTTGGATGGTCAATTTGTTCCCTACAGCTATTGGCCAACTGAATTCTGGGGTCCTGTACAGGGGAGTGCAAAGCTTCTTTGACTTCCAGCACAGAACTAAAGGCCTTGAAAAGTAGCTTTGGAAAGGGTCTACTACCTGGACAGTGTGAAACCCTCAGGCCTGGCCTGGCTGGGCTTAGGGCTGGCTGCCCTTGGGAATGGAAGAGAAGGAAAAGGGATGGAGTTGGGGTGGGGTTTTGCAGCCATGGAAACGAGAGAACCACTGGTGAACGCATCACAAAGGGGCAGCCCCACACTGGCGTTGTGACAGTTGTGGTTGACACGGCCACAGCGGCAGGAGACGCGTCTGGCTCTGCCTCTCTGTGCCCAGCGCTGGCGATTGGAGTCACCCGACCTTGTTCCAAGGCTGGGTACCAAGCTCCCGTCGCTGTCTACTCTGAGAGCGTTCCCAAATCCAAACCCAGACACTTCTGCGAGGCAGAAGCACGGGTTCAAACATGGATTTTACTGGAAAAGGAAAGACCACGGCAGGAAAAGGTGAGGATAGAAAGGAGCTGAAAGCCCCGAGCCAAATGGAAAAAAATCCCACCAGATTTCAGGGAAAACTGGTCCATGATGGTCAGTGCTGGCTCTGTGTCAGAGTAGGTGACTGACAGATACAAATGATCCTGCAGGGATGCCCATGGCATCACAACATTCTGTTGTTAGTTTACTCTGTTTTCTCCTTTTGACAGTAGCCAAATCACTAGTACTGACAGCCAGGACAGGGACTGTGGCCAAAGCTGACCACAGATTGGACATGGTCATGAGATGCAAGTCCTGTTGCTTTCATTGCCATCAATGTTGGGTCTCAGTACAGATAAATTTCCTGTTCTTCCTCTGCTTGCTGATCGGGTCCAACCCTGAGGATGGTATTACGGTGCTACAGAAACACCACTAAGGCCTGCCTGCTTGCTGAGAGGTCTTTGTGGTTTGCAGAACTAGCAGTCACAGCTGTGTGGGTTTCTCCTGTGGATTCACAAGCCAGCCTAAAGAAGGAATCTTTTTTCCCCTCTTATCATTGGAGCCTTCCACCTTTCCCTTCAGACTAGCTAACTCAGTGCTGCTCAAAGGAATTAAATGCAGGCGAGTTCCATGAATAATAAAACCAAAGAAATTTCCTCAATAATTAAAAATTATTCCCCTTGAGTGCCACACCCATTAGATGTGTTGAGGATAAAGGTGGGAGTTCAGCTAACTCACTTCTTCCCTTGTGAGCATGGCTCAGCCTCACACAGAGGTGAGGGGGGAGCTGGGCCGCTCTCTGGTGGGAGGAAGGGTCCTGTGGCAGCCCAGAGAGCCTGTGCACATTGCCAGGGAACAGCTGTGCCCTGCATGTGCCCCTGCAATGAGCTGTGCTCTGCCAGAGCCCCTGGAGCTGTAGGGCTGCTCAGCCGTGGGGCAGGGAGAGGAGCAGGAGGGTGCATGTGCAGCTGAGCCATTCCTGGGAAGCACAGGGCTCTGGGCTCCTGCTGTCCCAGGGCAGCCCAGAGGCCAGGCTGTTCCTGTGGCAGCCCTGTGCAAGTGGGTCAGGGCTTTCCCCTGGCCTGCTCAAGTGTCTGCTGGCAGGAGCACGTTTCCCTGTGCAGCTGTTTAGAAATTGGCAGGAAATGTGTCCCATGAAATACAGAGCTCCAGATGCTTTAGGTTTGCATTGCTGCCTCTGTTAAACTTTGTGTGTCCACTTTGCAGGCCTGACTGGCTACCCTCTGGCCAAGAGGCTTTCCCTGGCAAGTCCCTCTATGCTCCTTCCTTCCAAGCCGTTGCCTCCCATTCAGAAGAGCTCTCCTTCTACCAAGACCAGCCAGATATTCAGCGGAGAGCAGGAGAATGGGAAAAATGGCAACAGCTATGATGAGAAAAGTAGAAAAATACAGGAGCTGAGTTCAGAGGGAACAGGATATAAGGTAAAGGGGACCAAGTTAAGTCCTGTGTGGTAAATTTTCAGTTTATGTGCCGTCAGCAGAGGTCTCAGACCTTTTCCTAGACAGGAACTGACCCTGTCTCTGAAGTTTTTGAACAGGTCCTGATTTGGCTCTTTAGCTGGGCCAGAAATGATGGGATATGAAGGAAAGGTGTGCATCTGCCCCTGCTGCCTCCACCCCCATTCCTGGCCATGGCATGGGGGCCCTGGAGGAACTTGGGCAGGCTGAGACCTTCCAGAGAGCTGCAGGGCAGGGAGCTCTGCTGAATTTCCTAAATGCCAGTGAGCCTGAGAAGATGGATGTGTGGGAGCGGGAGAGCAGGGAGCACCCTGAGAGCTCAGCAGCATCTGGGCTCAAAGGCTGCTGGGGAACTGCAGGAGGGAAGGGCAGCAGCAGAAGAAATGAGAGGCTTGAGAAAAGCAGGTTTTGACATGCTGCAGAGTGGCTTTGTGGGGACTTGGCTGGAGATCAGCACTGGCTGTTCGGTACCTTAGGGGCAGGGAGAGAACAGTGATCCAAAGCCACTCCCATGCCATCCAAAAGGCCAGAGGAGGCAGTGGCACCTCAGAACATTGAAGGGCTTGATGTCAAACATGTGAATGCCAGCTGGGAATGCAGCCACTCTTGGAGAAAACTGAGCACAAGGGGAGAGGTGGCAAATATGTGACAAGGGCTGTCCCTCACCACATCCCTTCCCTAGGTCACCTTTCCCTGTCCTAGGCCAAGCTGCTCCATACATTTGACTTTTCCTGCCAGGTCCCAGTGAAATGCATGGCTAATTGTCTTGAGGCATGAGTGGAGGCAAGGCTGGATGCTTGACCTGAGCACTGTGTTCTACTCTTTCCAGACGTCCTTGCTGTATTCCAGTGGGGAGGATATGAAGAAGGGGTCATTGGGACCACCTTTGATCCCCCCCATACGCAAGGCAGTAAGTCCCCCTCTTGGCAGTGCTGCGGGGTCTCTGCAAAGCTCTCTGCAGCTGGAATTCCAGGAGTCCCAGGAGACGAGGTAAGCCAAGGTGTCTGCTGCTGCAGTGTGCTGTTCACCTCCCTCTTCCCATCTCATGTGGTTCTATTGCACAGTCAGGTGTCCCATGTATTTAGGCAAACCTCTGAGTATTCACCATTTTGCCCATCCATGAGGATCCAGCACAATGTGGCAGCCAACACCAATGTCCCAAGAGCAGAGGTGGTGGTGGGGAGGAGGAGGCAGGGCTTCAAAGCACCTCAGTCTGCGTCCTCTGCTGGACTTGGCTATTGGTTCCCTCTGTAATGGTTGGGGTGTGTCCTGGTTCAGGGCAAATTTGGGAGACAACCTCCAAAGGGGTTTCTCTAGGAAGCAGATTCAATTGGCCCCTTCCCCCATCCGGTTCAGGACAAAATATCTCCTTGGAGAAAAGTGGAAAAGACTCTTTATTAAACTAGAAAGCCTAAACCATATTAAACAATAAGACTTCTTTCCGCTCCAAAAGAGAGGCAAACTCAGAAAAATCCCCCGCCCCGGGCTGAAGCTCAGCTCACTCAGTCTCTTATCAGTCCCTCCAGCGCTGGAAGTGCCGCAGCCCTGGCCCAGCCCGCAGGGCCACAAGGTGCGAGCTGCCACTGCTCTTCTGGGTGTTCAGTCCAGAGCAGGCTTGTACAGGTCCAAAGAAAAGGGAAAAAAATCTCAGCCCAGGGAACTTCTTTGCCTCAGCTAGCTAAAACTAACTAAAAGCAAAGGAGAGCTCTGTCCCGCCGTTGGTCTGTCCGCAGACAACACAGTCCAGGAGCAGGAATGTGGAGGAGTGAGTGCAGTTTCTGAAACAAACTCCACACTTCTTCTCCCCCCATTTCACTCCTGGAACAAGGCTTAAAGGTCCAAAACTTATTATTCAGCATAAAAAGAACTGATGATTGGGGATAAAAGCATCATATAGACAACCCAGGACAGGGTGTCATTTGGGAACTGTGGTGCATGGGTCTGGATCCGGCAGATCTCTGAATGCTGTGAGCCTTGACTGTCAACTTCTGATCCTACAAGATTATGAGTGGGCAAATACAGGCTACTGGAGAGGTGTCTGCAAATTCAGATGCTGCTTCTGTAATCATCAGGTGTAACTTCATTGTGCCTGGGCCTCCACTGTGAAATGAGATCCCAGATAAATTTTGGGGTATAGATGTATAATCCGATGGATGTTTAATATTTTGATTGACGCTTAAGACCAAAAAGCGCAAGGCACGAGAGAAGTGTTACAGGACTGTATCTGATGGAAAGATATTGGCTTGGATATGAGTGAGAAAATGTAGCTGTCTAGCTTATCAGAGTGCTAACAATAAAGAAAGAGACACAGATGTATCATTCCAATAGAAAATCTTTGGTAGGGCTTTTAAAGTGCAATCTGAATATCCTGCCCTAGCAGCTGAGTTGGAAAAAGCCTTTTTGTTGTTGAAAGTGCCAGGAGGTGTAACATAATTTGCAGGAGACAGCAGGGCTCAGCTGAGCAGCTCGTGCTGTTTCAGAGAGGCTGTAGGAGCCCCTTGGCTCCAAAAGGAGAGACAGCAGAATTGGGGAGTTATGATGCAAGTGGAAGAATGACTGCTGGTGGTGGGGAAGAGGTGGCAGGGCTTCAAAGCACCTCAATCTGGGTCCTCTGCTGAACTTGGCTATTGTTTCACACAGAGCTTGGCCAGCTCTGTGTGACTCCTGCAATGGAAAGCTTAAGGACAATGAATTAGCTCTGCATCCTGTTGTGTTCATGTGTTGCATTTCCTCCTTCATCAGAGTGACCATGCTAAGAGGGTTTGCCTCCTTTCATGATGCACCCATTCCCTGCATTCTCTTTTTACCTCCTCATATGTTGTTTTGTCCTCCATTTTCTCCAGCCCAACATGCAGCAGCAGAAGCAAGGAGGAGAAGTGTGAACATGCAGGTAGGTACAGTGCATGTCTGTCCTAAAATGGCCATTGTAGTCTTGACTCATAGGTGACATTTGGAAAGCTTGGTTAAAACCCATTCTTTTTAACATTTCTTTAAATTTGTTTCAATTCCTTGATGGGCTCAGTGGACTCTCCCAGAGCCCAGTTACTGGGAATGTTCTCTGGTGGTGCAGTGAAAATTCCTCCTCTTTGCAGGCGTGACTAGTTCCTTTTTTTCCAAGTCTTTCCGGCGGTATCCCTCTTCACTCCTTCCCTCCAAGCCATTGCCTCCCATCTCGAAGATCTCTCCTTCTTCTAACACTAATAAAATGTCTGTTGTGGAGAAAGAGAATAAGGAAACTGGCACTGGCTATGATGACGACTGTAGAAAAATCCAGGAGCAGAGTTCAGAAGGAAAAAGTTATAAGGTAAGGAGACCAAACTGTGTTCTGTGTGGTAAATTTTCAGTTTATGCACTGAAGGCAGAGCTTGGAGACCTTTTCCTGTGGTGTGAGCCCAGGGAAGCAGTTGAGCCAAAGGAGAGCTCAGCTGGACACTGCGCTCCAGGCTGTCTCTGCAATGGGTGTGTAGTGCAGACTCCTCGTCCTCAGTGTGTCTCAATAGCAGGAGAGGTCTTTGAATGGTTTCTGGGCTCTGTCCTGGTTCCTCCTCTGTCTTATGGCTGAGAAAACACCAACAAGCAGTCAGAGCAGCTAACGTTGTCCAATCTGGACAAGCTATCCTTCTGGATTTAGTAACCTTCAGGTATCTGTGAACCATGTCCATATCTTCGTGGTGGTGTTTTCTGTCAGCTGTGTCTGGTTTGGATGGAAAAAGATGTTTTCTGGAACAGGCAGTCCTGCAAAGTCAGGTCCAGGTTGTCTCAGCTTTGCCAATACTGCCTGTGCCTGAAGCAAATGGAAAGCGAACTGCTATTTCTAGAGTTCATCAGCTTCTGGGCAGCTGTGTGCTCTGGTATGGCTTTGTCCAGAGGGAAGGGATGGGAGGTGGCCATGGGGAGAGCAGCCCAGAGCCCAGCCACACGATTGCCTTTGCAGCAGGGCCAGGACATGCTGTTGTTTTGGGTTTGCCGTGGGAGGCAGGAGGAGGCAGATGAACAACAGCATTTGCAAATAAAATGTCCAATCAAAGGTTTGGGTACTTGATTTGAGCATTGCTGAGAAAGGGCCCAGTGTATCCCTGACAGGAACTGACCCTGTCTCTGAAGTTTTTGAACAGGTCCTGATTTGGCTCTTTAGCTGGGCCAGAAATGATGGGATATGAAGGAAAGGTGTGCATCTGCCCCTGCTGCCTCCACCCCCATTCCTGGCCATGGCATGGGGGCCCTGGAGGAACTTGGGCAGGCTGAGACCTTCCAGAGAGCAGCAGGGCAGGGAGCTCTGCTGAATTTCCTAAATGCCAGTGAGCCTGAGAAGATGGATGTGTGGGAGCGGGAGAGCAGGGAGCACCCTGAGAGCTCAGCAGCATCTGGGCTCAAAGGCTGCTGGGGAACTGCAGGAGGGAAGGGCAGCAGCAGAAGAAATGAGAGGCTTGAGAAAAGCAGGTTTTGACATGCTGCAGAGTGGCTTTGTGGGGACTTGGCTGGAGATCAGCACTGGCTGTTCGGTACCTTAGGGGCAGGGAGAGAACAGTGATCCAAAGCCACTCCCATGCCATCCAAAAGGCCAGAGGAGGCAGTGGCACCTCAGAACATTGAACGTCTTGATGTCAAACATGTGAATGCCAGCTGGGAATGCAGCCAGTCTTGGAGAAAACTGAGCACAAGGGGAGAGGTGGCAAATATGTGACAGGGGCTGTCCCTCACCACATCCCTTCCCTAGGTCACCTTTCCCTGTCCTAGGCCAAGCTGCTCCATACATTTGACTTTTCCTGCCAGGTCCCAGTGAAATGCATGGCTAATTGTCTTGAGGCATGAGTGGAGGCAAGGCTGGATGCTTGATCTGAGCACTGTGTTCTACTCTTTCCAGACGTCCTTGCTGTATTCCAGTGGGGAGGATATGGAGAAGGGGTCATTGGGACCACCTTTGATCCCCCCCATACGCAAGGCAGTAAGTCCCCCTCTTGGCAGTGCTGCGGGGTCTCTGCAAAGCTCTCTGCAGCTGGAATTCCAGGAGTCCCAGGAGACGAGGTAAGCCAAGGTGTCTGCTGCTGCAGTGTGCTGTTCACCTCCCTCTTCCCATCTCATGTGGTTCTATTGCACAGTCAGGTGTCCCATGTATTTAGGCAAACCTCTGAGTATTCACCATTTTGCCCATCCATGAGGATCCAGCACAATGTGGCAGCCAACACCAATGTCCCAAGAGCAGAGGTGGTGGTGGGGAAGAGGACTCAGGGCTTCAAAGCACCTCAGTCTGGGTCCTCTGCTGGACTTGGCTATTGGTTCCCTCTGTAATGGTTGGGGTGTGTCCTGGTTCAGGGCAAATTTGGGAGACAACCTCCAAAGGGGTTTCTCTAGGAAGCAGATTCAACTGGCCCCTTCCCCCAGCTGGTTCAGGACAAAATATCTCCTTGGAGAAAAGTGGAAAAGACTCTTTATTAAACTAGAAAGCCTAAACCATATTAAACAATAAGACTTCTTTCCGCTCCAAAAGAGAGGCAAACTCAGAAAAATCCCCCGCCCCGGGCTGAAGCTCAGCTCACTCAGTCTCTTATCAGTCCCTCCAGCGCTGGAAGTGCCGCAGCCCTGGCCCAGCCCGCAGGGCCACAAGGTGCGAGCTGCCACTGCTCTTCTGGGTGTTCAGTCCAGAGCAGGCTTGTACAGGTCCAAAGAAAAGGGAAAAAAATCTCAGCCCAGGGAACTTCTTTGCCTCAGCTAGCTAAAACTAACTAAAAGCAAAGGAGAGCTCTGTCCCGCCGTCGGTCTGTCCGCAGACAACACAGTCCAGGAGCAGGAATGTGGAGGAGTGAGTGCAGTTTCTGAAAACAAACTCCACACTTCTTCTCCCCCCATTTCACTCCTGGAACAAGGCTTAAAGGTCCAAAACTTATTATTCAGCATAAAAAGAACTGATGATTGGGGATAAAAGCATCATATAGACAACCCAGGACAGGGTGTCATTTGGGAACTGTGGTGCATGGGTCTGGATCCGGCAGATCTCTGAATGCTGTGATCCTTGACTGTCAACTTCTGATCCTACAAGATTATGAGTGGGCAAATACAGGCTACTGGAGACGTGTCTGCAAATTCAGATGCTGCTTCTGTAATCATCGGGTGTAACTTCATTGTGCCTGGGCCTCCACTGTGAAAGGAGGTCCCAGATAAATTTTGGGGTATAGATGTATAATCCGATGGATGTTTAATATTTTGATTGACGCTTAAGACCAAAAAGCGCAAGGCACGAGAGAAGTGTTACAGGACTGTATCTGATGGAAAGATATTGGCTTGGATATGAGTGAGAAAATGTAGCTGTCAAGCTTATCCGAGTGCTAACAATAAAGAAAGAGACACAGATGTATCATTCCAATAGAAAATCTTTGGTAGGGCTTTTAAAGTGCAATCTGAATACCCTGCCCTAGCAGCTGAGTTGGAAAAAGCCTTTTTGTTGTTGAAAGCGCCAGGAGGTGTAACATAATTTGCAGGAGACAGCAGGGCTCAGCTGAGCAGCTCGTGCTGTTTCAGAGAGGCTGTAGGAGCCCCTTGGCTCCAAAAGGAGAGACAGCAGAATTGGGGAGTTATGATGCAAGTGGAAGAATGACTGCTGGTGGTAGGGAACAGGTGGCAGGGCTTCTAAGCACCTCAATCTGGGTCCTCTGCTGAACTTGGCTATTGTTTCACACAGAGCTTGGCCAGCTCTGTGTGACTCCTGCAATGGAAAGCTTAAGGACAATGAATTAGCTCTGCATCCTGTTGTGTTCATGTGTTGCATTTCCTCCTTCATCAGAGTGACCATGCTAAGAGGGTTTGCCTCCTTTCATGATGCACCCATTCCCTGCATTCTCTTTTTACCTCCTCATATGTTCTTTTGTCCTCCATTTTCTCCAGCCCAACATGCAGCAGCAGAAGCAAGGAGGAGAAGTGTGAACATGCAGGTAGGTACAGTGCATGTCTGTCCTAAAATGGCCATTGTAGTCTTGACTCATAGGTGACATTTGGAAAACTTGGTTAAAACCCATTCTTTTTAACATTTCTTTAAATTTGTTTCAATTCCTTGATGGGCTCAGTGGACTCTCCCAGAGCCCAGTTACTGGGAATGTTCTCTGGTGGTGCAGTGAAAATTCCTCCTCTTTGCAGGCGTGACTAGTTCCTTTTTTTCCAAGTCTTTCCGGCGGTGTCCCTCTTCACTCCTTCCCTCCAAGCCATTGCCTCCCATCTCGAAGATCTCTCCTTCTTCTAACACTAATAAAATGTACGTCGTGGAGAAAGAGAACAAGGAAACTGGCACTGGCTATGATGACGACTGTAGAAAAATCCAGGAGCAGAGTTCAGAAGGAAAAAGTTATAAGGTAAGGAGACCAAACTGTGTTCTGTGTGGTAAATTTTCAGTTTATGCACTGAAGGCAGAGCTTGGAGACCTTTTCCTGTGGTGTGAGCCCAGGGAAGCAGTTGAGCCAAAGGAGAGCTCAGCTGGACACTGCGCTCCAGGCTGTCTCTGCAATGGGTGTGCAGTGCAGACTCCTCGTCCTCAGTGTGTCTCAATAGCAGGAGAGGTCTTTGAATGGTTTCTGGGCCCTGTCCTGGTTCCTCCTCTGTCTTATGGCTGAGAAAACACCAACAAGCAGTCAGAGCAGCTAACGTTGTCCAATCTGGACAAACTATCCTTCTGGATTTAGTAACCTTCAGGTATCTGTGAACCATGTCCATATCTTCGTGGTGGTGTTTTCTGTCAGCTGTGTCTGGTTTGGATGGAAAAAGATGTTTTCTGGAACAGGCAGTCCTGCAAAGTCAGGTCCAGGTTGTCTCAGCTTTTGAGTTGTACAGCCATACCCTCTGCACAGTTGTCTCTGCTGCTATTTCTAGAGTTCATCAGCTTCTGGGCAGCTGTGTGCTCTGGTATGGCTTTGTCCAGAGGGAAGGGATGGGAGGTGGCCATGGGGAGAGCAGCCCAGAGCCCAGCCACACGATTGCCTTTGCAGCAGGGCCAGGACATGCTGTTGTTTTGGGTTTGCCGTGGGAGGCAGGAGGAGGCAGATGAACAACAGCTGTTGCAAATAAAATGTCCAATCAAAGGTTTGGGTACTTGATTTCAGCATTGCTGAGAAAGGGCCCAGTGTATCCCTGACAGGAACTGACCCTGTCTCTGAAGTTTTTGAACAGGTCCTGATTTGGCTCTTTAGCTGGGCCAGAAATGATGGGATATGAAGGAAAGGTGTGCATCTGCCCCTGCTGCCTCCACCCCCATTCCTGGCCATGGCATGGGGGCCCTGGAGGAACTTGGGCAGGCTGAGACCTTCCAGAGAGCTGCAGGGCAGGGAGCTCTGCTGAATTTCCTAAATGCCAGTGAGCCTGAGAAGATGGATGTGTGGGAGCGGGAGAGCAGGGAGCACCCTGAGAGCTCAGCAGCATCTGGGCTCAAAGGCTGCTGGGGAACTGCAGGAGGGAAGGGCAGCAGCAGAAGAAATGAGAGGCTTGAGAAAAGCAGGTTTTGACATGCTGCAGAGTGGCTTTGTGGGGACTTGGCTGGAGATCAGCACTGGCTGTTCGGTACCTTAGGGGCAGGGAGAGAACAGTGATCCAAAGCCACTCCCATGCCATCCAAAAGGCCAGAGGAGGCAGTGGCACCTCACAACATTGAAGGTCTTGATGTTAAACATGTGAATGCCAGCTGGGAATGCAGCCACTCTTGGAGAAAACTGAGCACAAGGGGAGAGGTGGCAAATATGTGACAGGGGCTGTCCCTCACCACATCCCTTCCCTAGGTCACCTTTCCCTGTCCTAGGCCAAGCTGCTCCATACATTTGCCTTTTCCTGCCAGGTCCCAGTTCAATGCATGGCTAATTGTCTTGAGGCATGAGTGGAGGCAAGGCTGGATGCTTGATCTGAGCACTGTGTTCTACTCTTTCCAGACGTCCTTGCTGTATTCCAGTGGGGAGGATATGAAGAAGGGGTCATTGGGACCACCTTTGATCCCCCCCATACGCAAGGCAGTAAGTCCCCCTCTTGGCAGTGCTGCGGGGTCTCTGCAAAGCTCTCTGCAGCTGGAATTCCAGGAGTCCCAGGAGACGAGGTAAGCCAAGGTGTCTGCTGCTGCAGTGTGCTGTTCACCTCCCTCTTCCCATCTCATGTGGTTCTATTGCACAGTCAGGTGTCCCATGTATTTAGGCAAACCTCTGAGTATTCACCATTTTGCCCATCCATGAGGATCCAGCACAATGTGGCAGCCAACACCAATGTCCCAAGAGCAGAGGTGGTGGTGGGGAGGAGGAGGCAGGGCTTCAAAGCACCTCAGTCTGGGTCCTCTGCTGGACTTGGCTATTGGTTCCCTCTGTAATGGTTGGGGTGTGTCCTGGTTCAGGGCAAATTTGGGAGACAACCTCCAAAGGGGTTTCTCTAGGAAGCAGATTCAACTGGCCCCTTCCCCCAGCTGGTTCAGGACAAAATATCTCCTTGGAGAAAAGTGGAAAAGACTCTTTATTAAACTAGAAAGCCTAAACCATATTAAACAATAAGACTTCTTTCCGCTCCAAAAGAGAGGCAAACTCAGAAAAATCCCCTGCCCCGGGCTGAAGCTCAGCTCACTCAGTCTCTTATCAGTCCCTCCAGCGCTGGAAGTGCCGCAGCCCTGGCCCAGCCCGCAGGGCCACAAGGTGCGAGCTGCCACTGCTCTTCTGGGTGTTCAGTCCAGAGCAGGCTTGTACAGGTCCAAAGAAAAGGGAAAAAAATCTCAGCCCAGGGAACTTCTTTGCCTCAGCTAGCTAAAACTAACTAAAAGCAAAGGAGAGCTCTGTCCCGCCGTTGGTCTGTCCGCAGACAACACAGTCCAGGAGCAGGAATGTGGAGGAGTGAGTGCAGTTTCTGAAAACAAACTCCACACTTCTTCTCCCCCCATTTCACTCCTGGAACAAGGCTTAAAGGTCCAAAACTTATTATTCAGCATAAAAAGAACTGATGATTGGGGATAAAGGCATCATATAGACAACCCAGGACAGGGTGTCATTTGGGAACTGTGGTGCATGGGTCTGGATCCGGCAGATCTCTGAATGCTGTGATCCTTGACTGTCAACTTCTGATCCTACAAGGTTATGAGTGGGCAAATACAGGCTACTGGAGACGTGTCTGCAAATTCAGATGCTGCTTCTGTAATCATCAGGTGTAACTTCATTGTGCCTGGGCCTCCACTGTGAAATGAGATCCCAGATAAATTTTGGGGTATAGATGTATAATCCGATGGATGTTTAATATTTTGATTGACGCTTAAGACCAAAAAGCGCAAGGCACGAGAGAAGTGTTACAGGACTGTATCTGATGGAAAGATATTGGCTTGGATATGAGTGAGAAAATGTAGCTGTCAAGCTTATCCGAGTGCTAACAATAAAGAAAGAGACACAGATGTATCATTCCAATAGAAAATCTTTGGTAGGGCTTTTAAAGTGCAATCTGAATATCCTGCCCTAGCAGCTGAGTTGGAAAAAGCCTTTTTGTTGTTGAAAGCGCCAGGAGGTGTAACATAATTTGCAGGAGACAGCAGGGCTCAGCTGAGCAGCTCGTGCTGTTTCAGAGAGGCTGTAGGAGCCCCTTGGCTCCAAAAGGAGAGACAGCAGAATTGGGGAGTTATGATGCAAGTGGAAGAATGACTGCTGGTGGTGGGGAAGAGGTGGCAGGGCTTCTAAGCACCTCAATCTGGGTCCTCTGCTGAACTTGGCTATTGTTTCACACAGAGCTTGGCCAGCTCTGTGTGACTCCTGCAATGGAAAGCTTTAGGACAATGAATTAGCTCTGCATCCTGTTGTGTTCATGTGTTGCATTTCCTCCTTCATCAGAGTGACCATGCTAAGAGGGTTTGCCTCCTTTCATGATGCACCCATTCCCTGCATTCTCTTTTTACCTCCTCATATGTTCTTTTGTCCTCCATTTTCTCCAGCCCAACATGCAGCAGCAGAAGCAAGGAGGAGAAGTGTGAACATGCAGGTAGGTACAGTGCATGTCTGTCCTAAAATGGCCATTGTAGTCTTGACTCATAGGTGACATTTGGAAAGCTTGGTTAAAACCCATTCTTTTTAACATTTCTTTAAATTTGTTTCAATTCCTTGATGGGCTCAGTGGACTCTCCCAGAGCCCAGTTACTGGGAATGTTCTCTGGTGGTGCAGTGAAAATTCCTCCTCTTTGCAGGCGTGACTAGTTCCTTTTTTTCCAAGTCTTTCCGGCGGTATCCCTCTTCACTCCTTCCCTCCAAGCCATTGCCTCCCATCTCGAAGATCTCTCCTTCTTCTAACACTAATAAAATGTCTGTTGTGGAGAAAGAGAATAAGGAAACTGGCACTGGCTATGATGACGACTGTAGAAAAATCCAGGAGCAGAGTTCAGAAGGAAAAAGTTATAAGGTAAGGAGACCAAACTGTGTTCTGTGTGGTAAATTTTCAGTTTATGCACTGAAGGCAGAGCTTGGAGACCTTTTCCTGTGGTGTGAGCCCAGGGAAGCAGTTGAGCCAAAGGAGAGCTCAGCTGGACACTGCGCTCCAGGCTGTCTCTGCAATGGGTGTGTAGTGCAGACTCCTCGTCCTCAGTGTGTCTCAATAGCAGGAGAGGTCTTTGAATGGTTTCTGGGCCCTGTCCTGGTTCCTCCTCTGTCTTATGGCTGAGAAAACACCAACAAGCAGTCAGAGCAGCTAACGTTGTCCAATCTGGACAAACTATCCTTCTGGATTTAGTAACCTTCAGGTATCTGTGAACCATGTCCATATCTTCGTGGTGGTGTTTTCTGTCAGCTGTGTCTGGTTTGGATGGAAAAAGATGTTTTCTGGAACAGGCAGTCCTGCAAAGTCAGGTCCAGGTTGTCTCAGCTTTTGAGCTGTACAGCCATACCCTCTGCACAGTTGTCTCTGCTGCTATTTCTAGAGTTCATCAGCTTCTGGGCAGCTGTGTGCTCTGGTATGGCTTTGTCCAGAGGGAAGGGATGGGAGGTGGCCATGGGGAGAGCAGCCCAGAGCCCAGCCACACGATTGCCTTTGCAGCAGGGCCAGGACATGCTGTTGTTTTGGGTTTGCCGTGGGAGGCAGGAGGAGGCAGATGAACAACAGCATTTGCAAATAAAATGTCCAATCAAAGGTTTGGGTACTTGATTTGAGCATTGCTGAGAAAGGGCCCAGTGTATCCCTGACAGGAACTGACCCTGTCTCTGAAGTTTGAACAGGTCCTGATTTGGCTCTTTAGCTGGGCCAGAAATGATGGGATATGAAGGAAAGGTGTGCATCTGCCCCTGCTGCCTCCACCCCCATTCCTGGCCATGGCATGGGGGCCCTGGAGGAACTTGGGCAGGCTGAGACCTTCCAGAGAGCAGCAGGGCAGGGAGCTCTGCTGAATTTCCTAAATGCCAGTGAGCCTGAGAAGATGGATGTGTGGGAGCGGGAGAGCAGGGAGCACCCTGAGAGCTCAGCAGCATCTGGGCTCAAAGGCTGCTGGGGAACTGCAGGAGGGAAGGGCAGCAGCAGAAGAAATGAGAGGCTTGAGAAAAGCAGGTTTTGACATGCTGCAGAGTGGCTTTGTGGGGACTTGGCTGGAGATCAGCACTGGCTGTTCGGTACCTTAGGGGCAGGGAGAGAACAGTGATCCAAAGCCACTCCCATGCCATCCAAAAGGCCAGAGGAGGCAGTGGCACCTCAGAACATTGAAGGGCTTGATGTCAAACATGTGAATGCCAGCTGGGAATGCAGCCAGTCTTGGAGAAAACTGAGCACAAGGGGAGAGGTGGCAAATATGTGACAGGGGCTGTCCCTCACCACATCCCTTCCCTAGGTCACCTTTCCCTGTCCTAGGCCAAGCTGCTCCATACATTTGCCTTTTCCTGCCAGGTCCCAGTGAAATGCATGGCTAATTGTCTTGAGGCATGAGTGGAGGCAAGGCTGGATGCTTGATCTGAGCACTGTGTTCTACTCTTTCCAGACGTCCTTGCTGTATTCCAGTGGGGAGGATATGAAGAAGGGGTCATTGGGACCACCTTTGATCCCCCCCATACGCAAGGCAGTAAGTCCCCCTCTTGGCAGTGCTGCAGGGTCTCTGCAAAGCTCTCTGCAGCTGGAATTCCAGGAGTCCCAGGAGACGAGGTAAGCCAAGGTGTCTGCTGCTGCAGTGTGCTGTTCACCTCCCTCTTCCCATCTCATGTGGTTCTATTGCACAGTCAGGTGTCCCATGTATTTAGGCAAACCTCTGAGTATTCACCATTTTGCCCATCCATGAGGATCCAGCACAATGTGGCAGCCAACACCAATGTCCCAAGAGCAGAGGTGGTCATGGGGAAGAGGAGGCAGGGCTTCAAAGCACCTCAATCTGGGTCCTCTGCTGAACTTGGCTATTGTTTCACACAGAGCTTGGCCAGCTCTGTGTGACTCCTGCAATGGAAAGCTTAAGGACAATGAATTAGCTCTGCATCCTGTTGTGTTCATGTGTTGCATTTCCTCCTTCATCAGAGTGACCATGCTAAGAGGGTTTGCCTCCTTTCATGATGCACCCATTCCCTGCATTCTCTTTTTACCTCCTCATATGTTCTTTTGTCCTCCATTTTCTCCAGCCCAACATGCAGCAGCAGAAGCAAGGAGGGGAAGTGTGAACATGCAGGTAGATACAGTGCATGTCTGTCCTAAAATGACCATTGTAGTCTTGACTCATAGGTGACATTTGGAAAACTTG